AGGTTCATGATAGCTAGGGAAGAGATTATTTACAGGCAATTTTATTACAGGCCTCCTATTTGGCAAAGATTTTGCACATGTGAACTTGTCCCAATGCATCAGATATAGGTCTGTGCAGGCAGCTCTTTCATAAAGAGAGATAAGAAAAGAAATAAGGTTGAGGAAGGTGCAGTGGAGGCAAATTGATTTTCAGACTGCCTATGACCTTGACTCAGAGGTTGAATGTGAGCTGTGAAGCAGACAATGAGGATGGGAACAAGCTGCAGACAGCAAAACTGCAGACTTCATTTGGAACCACAGATTACAGACACCAATTCTGACAGCCTGATCCTGCCCATGAAATCATGTGCACTAAGCATGTGACAATACTTTAATTTACAGGGACATTTGGGTACCTACATGTATGAAAGCACAACTGAGTTCAGACACTATTCCTCCCAGGAATAACACTTTACAAGGATGTCATTTGAGTCACTTGCGGTAAAAAGGGGGTGGTATGGGGGCATAGGAGGGGTTGGGGAAGGTAGGAGGGACACAGACAGACAGATGGACAGAGATTTCTAAGCAATATATCAATTACATTATCACATTGTGATAATCACATTTGGTTACATGCTCATGGAATACTTCTACTAATTCACCTTCTGGTCTGAAATTTTTTAGGATGTGTCTGCGGAAAAGAAAAGGTTCAAAGGAGGAATACAGTCATGAAGGTAGAGAAAATTACTGACCTCAGGGAAACTACATGTCATAGAGTTAAGAAAGGCAGGGAAAATGAAGAGTGGCTGCTTAACATTTGAAGTCTGTCACTGACTTCTGGGGACAGATATAAACTGACCTGATTCCCAGCAGTATAACCAGGGACCACATTACTACTACATTACTATGTTTCTCCAACAAGAAACAGTTAAAGAGGCTGTTGGTTTTGTTTGTTTGTTTGTTTGTTTTCTTTTTTCTTTTCTGTGCCTTTTCTGTTGTGTAGCTTGAGGAACAGGAAGCTGTTCCTAGCAGGTTAGGTTAGGTCCAGATCGGCAGTGCTTTGTCAGCACAGGTATTATGCTTTATAATATGCAGTATATTATGCTGGCACAGCATTCTCAGGCAGATGAGCTTGTAACAGCAGAAAATGTTTTTACAGTATAGCTTCTTGATTCCTTGGGAGTGACAGATCCGCTTTCGTATTACAAAGGTGGCTTCTGGCAGCACTACTGACAGGTCACACCCCAGCGTGTTGATCTCTGCCCAACTGTGTCAAGGCAAAATCTGTAGTACAGCCCTGGCCTTTGAGCTATAAATGAATTACTCTTCTACCTAGAAAACACTTTTTAAGACCCCTGGAGGAACATATTAAAGGTTGGAGAAAGAAAGGGAGCAGAGCTTGCGCTCTATTTCTTGCCTGCCATAAAGCTCATTCTAACTCAAGTTGAGAATTTGAGGTCTACAAGGAAACAAAAATGCACAGGGTTCAGCGTTATAACATTATATAACAGATTGATTGACATCATCAATATCTCTAGACTCTTATGCAGAGTTCCTCTTAACTCATGGGGTGCCAGAATAGCTGTGGGCTGTTTCTATTTGGATGGTGAGTTTTCAGCAGGACTGAAGTCCAACCTAGTATTACCAATAGTATTGGAAGTTTCCTACAAAATGTGCTTCTGAATAGAAATCACTGTACTTATTTTTGTTATTGTGCAATAGTGTGCGCAAGGTACTATTCAGAAACGATGCATGCCCAGAGAAACAGATGAGTGGGAGATGAAAGTTTTTCCTGCAAGAAATGGGCCAGTTTGTGATTACAATATTTTAAAACTATATCTTTCATTGAAGAGGAGCTTCTGAATATCTCCATGGCAGTCTGTTGGAATAGATTCTCTGTGTGATTTGGATCTGCTGCTTTTGATCAATTCTGTACTATTAATGGGCAAGTGATTCTAGGCATTCCAGGCAATTCTAGGCAATGATGCATTTTTCAGGTTTTCCTGGAAGGATTTTTTTTGTTGTTGTTCTAGTAAATCCAAATTCTCACAAAATTCAAAACTTTTGAAAAGTAATACATTCTCCATCTGCAAATCATTCCTTCAAAAATATTCCCAGCTAACTTCTAATCTACATAACCAGCTGGAGCAATGAGCTCTGTGTGATAATGCTAAAGCAGAGCTATTAAATAACCTTGACATCAAGGTTATGGAAATTCAAATGGCAAGGCTAGACAGAGAGTGCTTCAGGGCATTCCCTCGTGGTAGAAACAACTCCTGCAAAGGGTCTGCTTCAATTTCCCTTTCCAAGCATCTACTTAAATTAAGTTCATCAGCTTTTTTTTTTTTTTTAAGGGTTGGGGGGAGGCATTGGGGTCTTGACTGATCTCTTAACTGATTCTGTTATTAGCATTCCAGTCCTGACGTTGATTTAGAATCTCACCCTCCTGTTCCCCTTCAACTATTATCAGCAGGCTTTTCTCCTAGCTTGGGGAGTACACATTAGCCCAATCTTCCTTCAGATATCTGGTTAACTCTTCACTCATCTAACCACTCTGAGTTCTGAGGCTCATAATGCTGGCATATCTTTGTCCCAGATGAGAAAAAGAGAAACTTTATATTGCCCTATTACAAAATTCTTAATTCCATGCCCTTAAGGGATCAATGACCCTCCAGTCTAACTTGCCCTGACATTAATAGCTCCCAAGTCACTCTTCTCTCTATCAAAAGATACATCACATGTTTTTAAACAGATTTGCTTAGGCACATGAACAACCAATCTTGCAAAACATCCCCTCTGGCCTTAAAGGGCCAGTATTCTGCTGCATTGAACAAAAGATTAGAACATGTTATGTTTCTTAGCAAACCTCTAGAAAAGTATATGATGTGAAAAGAAAAATAATTGCAAAAATCCAAGTACATACAGTGAGGCTTAGAAATTTGACTGAATTTCTAAGAAATCATGAGAGAATTAAAAAAAAAAATCAAATTTGCTTGTTGGAGGCAAGACTGAGAGTCAGGACATCACTGAGACTATCCCACAGTTTTACTTTGCTAGTACAGCTGAGATATCACAAAACCTGCAACACAAAAGGGGAGTTGCTAAGATGAGCTGATTAATTAGGTACCAATAAAGGCTGGGCTGATATTTACCCATAACTCTAGGGAATGTGCATCTGCAGATGAAATGACTGAGAACATTAAGAAGGGAACATTAAGAAGCCAACACTGTGCCACAGAGCTGGATTTAGCCTCAGAGATGGCAGGCTGCAGAGCCCTCCTGCACTGCCAGGCTGCGGCCGGGACCTGAACACCCAGCTTGTCGGATCTGCTCACCCGGCTGGGATTCCTGCTCTGCTGTGCCACCGTGTGCTCGCCAGCTGCCAATACACTGCTTCACGGAATGAGTTAGCTGCCCGATATGATCATTACAGGCCTTCTGGCTTAAACCTGGAGTCAATAACAATGCATGGCCAGTCTGTGCCATATGACGCACCTATAAACAGGAAACGTGAGCACTGGAATGCTGTACCAGCAACATCCTTTCTGTATGCTTGTGAAGGTCAAAATCTCCATGGATGTTTTCAGATTTTTCAGCGATTGCTGGCATAGTTTTGAGTTCATTGCAAGTCAGATCATCAAGTAAAATCCGCACGGTGGACATTTCTCACTATTGTTACAAGAGGCTTTGTCTTATTCTCTGTCCTCGCCTTCTGGCCTTTCAAGAAGCATGTCGCAGCAGGGGACACACATTAAGAACTCCCCAATCCCATTAACAAATCTGAGGCTGATTTGCAGTATTTAGAATAAGCACACCACCACCTTGAGGCTTACATACCTCACTGTAAAATGGATATGACATTTATTTTACCAGGGCAACAGGGCTTTGGTGAGATTCTTCAGAGCAGACAATGCTTTTGAGATCTGCAAGCCACACTACTTGCAAGCTGCCAGAAACACCTTCCTGAAGACAGTCCATGCACTGGGAGCTCAGCAGAGTACATTTAACCAAAAGAAATCGCAGGAATCCAAACAGATTAAGAATGCCTTTGCATGTAGTAGCTTTTCAGGTCAGTTTTACAGACACATGCTAAACCTCCCTATTGTTCAGGGACTGCCAACATTCAGGTTATGTGAGGATTTTCAAGTGCCAAAACCCTCTCATCCTTGGCAAGCACTCTGAATGACTGAGACATAGAAAAGGAAATGTACTTGTTAGCAAAAATCTTAGGAGCGATAGAACCTGGGAGGCTACCCCATATATTCCTAGCTGCAGTCAATCTGGCCTCATCAATCTGGGCATAGGAAGCCCAAAAGTTGAAACATGTTCGTTATGTAAAAATTGTGCAGCAAGGGCCCCTCTGCTTGAGGCTGCTACAGCAGACACACAGAGATTACATCCCAGGGTCTTGAAGCTAAAAGATCAGCCACTAGGTGTCAGGGCTGTATTGCACAGTGCTAGATAACAAATTGGTTCATCGGTCACTTAAACCGTGGAAAAACAGCCACTGGGTCAAGGAAAATAAACTGCAGAAAGCTTATGAATATCCCAAATTCCTGTGCTGGCCAGCTAAATTAAAGCAAAACAACAAAAATGACAACAACGACAACAACAAAAACAGCTGGGAGGGACTTCACTGGTATACAGAGACTTAGGAGCTCCTGAAGCTGTGGCTCGGAGTATTGCTGCACTCTCAGTTCCCTGGACTTTTTCATGTTAGTGCCTTTGCACCCATGAAGCAAGTCACTTTGCTGAGCCTTTGCAAAGGACTCTGCTAAGCCTGCCCTGGCTTTCTGAAAGAAGACACATGAATGACTCCAGAGGAAAACAGCTGTATCCATCCAAGCCTATTTGATGTGGTTTAGCGTCACTACTGTGAAAGCCAACAGCAGAGACAGTGATGTGACATTTTGAATTATTCCCATTTTTATTTATGTTTCTTTGTTCATTCTTTCAACAATATATTGTTAAATAAGAAATCACACAGATGTAAACGTAGGCTATTTTTGTTTATATTGCAGGTGCAATGCTGAAGAATCCACTTCTAGACCTGGATGCTGCCCTCCTTCCACACATTATGTCGCATGAGAGGGTGCCACAACGCTACATTGATGTCAGACTCAGCAAGGATTTCTCTCCAGAGATCCCACTTGAGGGGTCGCAGAAGCAGATCATGCCAGCCTGTTTAACTAACCAACACAGTTAGGAGTTCCCGACAACGTCACACACTTGAAACCATATTTGCAGATGGGTGGTAACTAATATTCATTTTAAAACAAAAATCAGGAGAAGAAAAGTCACTTTGTTCCATATAGCAAAGGAAACAGTATGTCAAAGGAGACTATTATCCCTCCTACGTTACAGAGGCACAGGACAAAAAAAAGATTTGTCTAACATTATTTCTCCCTGAAATCGGTGTCTTCTTTTCTCTGCTCTTCTCCTTGCAAATCCTGATCATCTGTCAGAGCTTCCCAATCCCTGCTGCTGCTCATGTTAAAAGTACTCAGATCTCCTCTCTTGTGATCTCTGCCTTTACTGCAGAGGGAAGTGAGTGCTCCTCACTTTAAAGCTGGGCTATGTGGCACAGTCAATGCTCGACCATTGATCCCTTGCGATTGCAGACAGGAAAAATGGGCTTTTCCTCCTCTTATATCCCAGCCTTTGAGTTTATGGGCACATCCAGCTGTAGCAGAAAGCATATTGTACTCTGAAATTCAAGGGTCCTGGGTTCGGTCCATGCTGCCAAATGAACAACTGTGGAACTGCATTATATACCATGGAAAGAAAATCCCTGTGGGTAGTCTATTCTAATTCTCCCCACAGAGCTGCATGAATGCCAGTGCAATGTTGGGGGAAAGCACAAAATCTTCATGGCTTAATCATTCTCCAGTTGAAGAACAAACAGAAAATCCACTTCCTTGAGATCATATTGAATCATGTGTTTACTGGGATTGGCTGCAAACTACTTTGAAGTAAGATGAACAACATCTTAGGAAAGAAAGAGATGCTGGTGAAATGAACCCATAAATGGGAATATTCAATTTCATATATGGGGTGTAGCTGTGAGAACAAGTTCCCTCAGCCTGCTTAAGAGCCTAACATAGTACTGTTCCCCATTCAGAATTAGAAGTCTTAAAAAGTACTTAAAACCTTAAAATAGATAATACAGAAAATTAAGATAAATGATGAAAAAACTTGCACAGACTTTTAGCTACAGAATTTCAGATAAGTTTCTATGAAACTGCTCGTCTGTTTCCTGTCCTATTTTTACACGAATGGAAGTAGTGAATAGTTAAGTGCACAAGTAAGATCAGAAAAATAATTTGAAAGCAATCAATCAAACAAACAAACAAACCCTATGTGCTAAGGACAACCTTGAAAGAGGAAAAGAGGGTTTTTCCCTCTTATGGATCACTAAAATATAGAAAAATGTTCTGAAAAAGATTATTTTGGAAAAGCTTTTTTCTGTTAAGGACATCAAGCTTTGACATTCCTTCTTTTAATGCAGTGTTCATTTGAGTTTCAGAAATGTTTTGGGAACTTCCAGCACATAGACCTAAATTTCAGATATGAAGTATCAGGTAACTGAGTACCCTTAATAAAACACTACCTACTGATGTGAAGGGACAGAACACTTACCACTTTAGAGAACCAGAGTGTAAATAATCTTATACAGGTAAAAACGTCCAGAAAAAATGTATGAAGAAATATCACACATACATGCACTGTCAGGTAAGTAAGTGTTCCTTCCAAAAGCAGAGTATTAAAATGAAGTTTGGCTATTCCAGTCAAAGATGAGTGACGTGAAATTAACAAAAGGTTCAAGATTAATTTTTTTTGCTTCACTTAAAATGTTTCATTCTCCTAACTAAGTTAGAGTGTTTGGTGGCAAGATATTGTAAATCCTTACACTGTGCAGGAAAGGCACAAGAAGCACAATAAGGCTGTAGGTAAACTAAGGGATTTTCAGGAGAGAAAAATGTTGCATATTCTGACTTTTACTCAAGTAAAAGGATATAGACCTGTGGTACTCTTGGAGGTTGAAATATGCATGCATACTGTATGTATATACACACCTAAATAGAGGGTTCATGCAAACTTGCTGAGTTCAAGAATAGGGAAGAAATAAGAAGCATGTACCATTTAAAAAAATCCAACTAGCAAACTAATAAAATTTACCATATACATATTATTTATTATGTAATTATGATACTTACATGCATTTATATGTTATGTTTAACATATTTTGTTAACTATTTTTCATATATGTCACATTTGATATATATATGCTTTATGTATTATATTTTAGTTACCATATTCTACATTATGTATTAAAGTCACTTGAATTCTATGTTACATTTGGTCTCTAATCAACATAATTGTATTGTTTTACATTACATTAATGAATTACTATTTTCCAGCACTGAAAATTCATCACTTGGAAAAAAAATCTACTGCTTATGAAGAGTTTATACCTTTTTTTAAATCCCTAGCCTATAACAGAGGCTTATGGAGGCACTATCCCTCTAATTCTTCTCCTCTGTACCGAATAACCTGGCATATTAGTCAATCAGCATTGGTAGAATCAGAACACTGAGATCAGAATACTATGTACTCTAATCTTATCCTGAGGAAGTCATTTGGAAAGTGGATTAGTTTCTAAACTTAGCCAGTTACTGCTTTAAGAATAGCCATATTTAAGAGGAACGGAAGTTCTGGCCACTCCGAGAAATTACTCCTGATCTAACTATTTAACAAAGAATCACCTTTACCTTCTATGACATGCTTTACAAATTAGTTGGTTGACTCCTTGAAGGAACTACTTATTTCCAGGTGCATCTTTAAGTGTCCCATCTTCGTCAGTCTTAACTGTCTGAAGAAATAAGGAAAATAAATTAAGGGTTAAATCTGTCACAACAGAGCACAGACTGGAGTTTAAAACTTAACACAAACTAAGTATATATGCATGTTATATTTACTTGTCTTTCTACCTGTGGGAAAGCATTTAAGTTAAAGTATATTTACAAACACTTCAGAATTTCAGCAAGTTGAAGATGCCTCATTTTGTTAATCTGAAAAACCGTTTATATCAGTTTAATTTCTGTAGTAGTTTTTTAAATACATCTGTACAACTCATACTTTCTAAATACTTCAGAACAATACAATGAGAGCTAGCAGACACATTCCTTTCATTGTTACTGCAAACAGACTATTTAAAATAAAATTGTTACACTACTATTAAATTATTGTCAATCTATATTCCACCCTAGCTTCAGATTCATTTACACCTCGACACACATTGTGCAGGTGCTGTCTGAACTTCCATAGCATTTGCTGATTCGAACTACATGTATATTTGCTAACCAGGGAACTCCAAACTGGCTGTGTGGTGCTGAGCACTGCGTTTCCTCTTGCAGTCGGTGAGTACTCAGGATGCTAAGAAGGTTGGTGCCTGAGTACTCGCTTGTCTCATATTGAGTATTAAAATGGATTTAGTCACAAGCATCTGTCATTCATTTACAAGGGCTTTTTGAAGCAACAATTTGCTTAATGCTAATATAATTACAGCCATGTATTAATTCTAATATGAAGAAAATTGCAGAAAGGGAAGGAAGAAGCTCATCTTGCTATGATGGAACACAAGTACAACAAAAGCTGCTGTAACTTGAAACACCGAAGTAATCAAACAAATCTAGAAAGTACCAAACCACATATTCCTATAGGTGGGCCTTCAGTAGAAGCAGAGAACCCTTACCAAAAACAAGGTAATGACAGGCACGATTAACACCAGGGAGTGACACAATCTCAGGCACACACTTAGCTTCCTAAAATATAAGCAAACGAAAAGCCTCAAATATTTTCAGTCACCTTGTGCCTTTGATTTTAGTGTTTGTCACTGTACAGGTAACTATTAAGTGGCTCTCCGGCAGGCCTTGCCTGGTTTGGTGTAAACCTTGCAGCTGGAGGCTTATCACCAAGCTGTGGAGAACGACACCAACGCCTTAATGTCTGTGGACAACTGTGTGGCAGGGACACGCCCCCAAGGCCTCAGGGTTTCCTCACGGTGGCTCTGGTGGCTCTGCACAAAAACGAGGGCAAAACGCAACCGCATCCCCTTGGCTGGTGTGGGGCTGTGAGAGTGCCGGAGGGCACTGACCTGCTCTTCCTGCCTAGCCCTGGGGGGAGGCTGCAGCTCTGAAATGGAGGCGTCACGGAGGCCGCAGCCGAGCAGTTCAGCCTCCTGTCATGCTGAGGAGAAGCAGTCCCCGGTGGCCACCCCTTTGGAGGGGAGGATCGCGCATCTGCTGGGAGACCCCTCCGGGGGTGCCATGAAGGCCTAGGGGGATCCTTCTAGAAGGTATGTGGAGGGTGCAGCAGCCAGGCTGGGGTAAGGTGCTAGGGTTCAAGCGGTATGAGCAGGGCATGGCTTTTCAGAGGCCTGGGGAGCTGATGGCAGCCTGTGAGACCCTGCTCTGTCATGCCCAGGGCTGGGGAGGGAAGGCTATGTGGTGCAGCATGAGGTGGTGCAGGCTGGGAGATCTCTGAGGTAAAAAGGGGGGCGAGGCTTTTGGGCAAAGCCTCAGCAGTGTGTGTGGGAGCCTGAATGCTTTTCCCCTTTCTCCTGGGATATTGCAGACATTCAGAAACAGAGAACAAAACATGCATTTACTGCCACTCCTCCGCACTGAATCCCAGGGCACTTCTAATAAGCTAGGAGTAAAGATGAGTGCTCAAGCAGGTGGCCAGAACTCTCCCAAGGAAGAATAACGCTTGCACAGGGTGTTTACATCCTGCTATAAACTACGAGTTTATTTTATGCCAGACCACAAGCTGCTGGTTGAAACCTCAGCTGAACTTATTTGCTGATCAGAGGAACTCCATTAACTTTGGAACCAGACAGTTTTCACTTTCACACCTTTCCAGCTGGCTGGGACAAGAACCAGATGTACCAGAATACAGTAAGCTCGTGTTCCTGGGACACTGCTGACCCAATCTCAAGCAGCAAGTATCAGAGAGTATGTTAAAAAAAGGATGGTTTCTCTCAAAAGATTTATTGGTTTTGTTGGCTCAGGTGGTCTGTGGGGTTCGTATAAACACTACGTTTTTTGGCTTTCTATGTTTAGCTAAACCAAGTCCTAAATTCTTTCAAATCTAAGCATTTATGTGAGAAAGCCTTATATTTATCATATGATCCAGTTTCATGCCTTAATATGAGGTAAAATGCTGATTCACCAAGCACAAAGGCTGCATATCCCCCAGAAGATGGTGTGTAGAGATCTGCACGTCCCGTCTTTCCTGTTACTGTTGTGGATGGAGTTCACTGCATGACTAGATTAATTCTAAAGCTCCTCTTTTTTTTTTTTTTTTTTTTCTTCTGTAAAATCTATGCTGAAATAGTGTTACTGTTATTGGTACACAGATCAGTTAAATAACACTAGTCTGGGAGCATTCACTGCCTTATGTCCTCCATCAGGAGGAAGCAGATTCATGTTCTGTTTCAGATCTTGAGTTGTCTCATCCTGGAAGTTTTTATTCCTGTCTTTCCCTGTACACCTATCACAGCAATTAAATCAAAAGCTTCTTCTGTGTCGTTTTTTTTTTTGAACAAAAAAAGCAAAACAGTAGAAAATGACCATTGTGCTGTCATGGAATAACTAGAGGTAGCATCATTTAACCAGTTATTTTTTGTGAACATTCTAGGTACCATTAATATTAGCGACAGCTTACAAGTATCTTTTCTACTGTCACTGCTAGAACTAAGTCTGATAAAAGAAGTGATCAGTCATGATAGGACTGAAATGGGCTATACATCATTTCAGGTTTTTATTTATATAGATTGTCAACATTTTGTATGAGTTTAAAATGCTTTTTTTTGCCATTTTAGTGGACCATTCGACTGTGCATTACTAGAGCCCATGACCATCAATTGCTCATCTAAAACCTGATTATATCAGCTACATACAAATTTACACAACTTATGTATATACTCAGATTGTGCTTTGTATGCAACTAGATATTTGGTAGAAACCTCTCTGAACTGGAGCTTTAATTTGATACATAATGACAGGATACCTGATTTAGCTATATAAGCCTTCTGGGAAAATATCAGGGTTGAGCAGTCTTATTGTGCAAGTCAAGGTTAACTACATTCCTGGGGCTTTACGTTTAGTTAGATAAAGTTGTTGGAGTCTTTGAGCTAAGCGTTCTCCATGCTTCAGAAAGGCATCAATGTAGAATCTGGCAAGCAAAGAGTGAGATTTAAACAGCTCCATTCACTCATTGTATGAGATCAGTTTATCTCACCACCTAATTTAGGTCATCACAGTAGTGTTGCCAATATGTCCTTCCTAACTGGAACAGCTTCTCAACTGCCTTATGTCTCATTATCTTGTCTCTGTAAATTCTTTGTCATTATCTGGTATTTTAGTTTATTAGCTCCTAGCTGCTTACCCTTCAAAAATCCCATTCCTCTGAAATTTCTTGTCTTCCTCTGTACAGCCTTTAGTGACTTTTGAGGATGGACATGCAATAATTGTGATGTCAAACATTGGTCACCTCTTAAATACCTCAGATCTACTTAATGTTATTAACAGGTCGGGGATGGATTGTCTAAGGATACCAGAAAAATACTGATTTGAAGAATATCAGCTACTTTCTAATTCCAATTTGCAGAAAGTCTTCTTACAATATGCTTAGAAACGCATGAAAAAATGAGGTGGAAGGGAGGGTAATTGAAATAAAAACTGTTTTTATTTTTTAAATCTTGGGATTGGGAAGCATAGTCCTCCTATCTAGAGCTCTTGTAAGCAGCTGTACTTCAGACTGGGCAGAACTGAACAGGGAACTGGGAGCTGGATATGACCTGCCAGGAGCTTACATACACCCTTCTGGAGCGTAACATCATGCTTCGGCTTTGAATCATTTTTAAATTTAAAAACAAATCTGCATCCACTATTGTAATTTCAAGCTCAGTTGTCAGTGTGTGCTGAAATTTGAAAGCTAGCTTAACTATTTTCTTCTTGACATTTCTTTGGTTTGACTTCTTTCCTGTCATATTCTGTCAAGTGTGCCTTAACTACGTGTAAAATTGGCAGCAGTGGAGATACAGGCTTTTGGCATGACCACAATTACTTTCAAACAAAGATAATAGACTATTCACCTCTAGAGACAAGCAAGCAAGCAAAGTTGTGAAACTTTCCTCTGCATGAACTAGTCTGCTCTCACAATCAGGGCAGAGGAGCGCTAGCTTGCTGTGCAGAGAAGACTACCACAAAGGCTGTGATCGCTGCCTGCTGACATTTGTAGCTCCATGAGCAGTACCCCAAGCAGATGCAGGTAGGAAAAGATAGAGACTGTTGTTGAAGATGTTTCAAATGTTGTGTTATATCTGAGTGAGCATCATGTGGGAATTGCAGGCACGTGTTGTTGGCAGCATAGGGATATGGCTAGGAGGAGTGAAGGCTCGGATGCTATCCAACTCCTCTGTGGTTGCTAGAACCAGCTTGCCTTCAACATCTGTACTGTGGGAGTAGAAATGGTGTTCTGCATTGTAGCAGCAAGCAATCACAGCAAGGTTTGGCTCTGGAATTCAGTGTATTTTCTCTTTCTCAAATTGGTGTGAATATGAAAAGAAAGGGAAATAGTGGAAGCTGAACCCATCAGGGGAACCAGGTGAGCTGGATACCTCACAGAATGTCTCAGACAGGAGATATGTGTTAGGTTTTCTGCATTTCGTTTGCCATTCATTATGGACACACTGTATATGGGTGTTTAGTAACTGTCTTTACCTTTTATATTCTGAAACACCCATTCTAATGTTAAAACAAGGTAAAAATCACAGGTAGTCCTGTAAAAATCATTGAGATTAGATTAAGGTTGTATTTAATATGATTGAAGGCTATAAAATTTGGTATTAAGTATTAATAATTGCTATGTCTGTTGCTTAGGAATGATTCAAGGCAATGGAAGCTTTGGGTATCTGATCTTCAATATGTTAGAGGGCTATGTTCCTAGATACCAGGGCACTTGACTAGTTTTTCTGCAAACCACAATGATTCCTTCCTTTATTTGAACAGTGCTTGCACAGTGCCAAAAAAAAAAAAAGAAAAAAGTTGGCAGAAAGCATAGTTTGCTACATGAAATTATCTGGAAAATTAATGTTGTTGATTAAAATGAAGTACTTAGTTGTTGATGCTGTTGAATTCTCAAAACTGATACAATTAAGCTGAAATCTAAAGATCTTTTCTATTTGTCACCAAGAGTAGGCTAGAATTGTTCTTAACATACAAATTCGAGCTGCCACAAAGCACAAACGAGCTGCTTAATGTTTAGCTAAAAAATTGCTTAGTTGATCTCTTGCATATTTTCTTCATATTTTGGCCTTTGGAAGGGCTATTTGTTATTTCAAAATGTTTTGGCCGTAGTATATCTGCAAGACCTCATTTATCCTTTTGAAATTTGTAGCCTTCACAAGCTTGGCATCTACAGCATCACAAACAATGAACTACTGTGACTAGAAGCCTCTAGGATTAAAGAAAAAGAAAGAAAGAAAACCCTCTTCCATAAGAACTTTTTTTTAACAGAATTGGAATTTGTTGAGCACATTTTTTTGCCACAGTTGGCAAAAACAAACAAACAAACAAACAAACAAAATCACAGATTTTTCATCTTCCCACCTCCCATCCCAAATGAATGAGGAAGTACTGGTGCTATGGACTTGCTCTTTAAATAAATGGAATCTTTCTTTTCTCTCTTGGCAACAGCAGGAGTATTCTTGTGCTGTATGACAAGGCTAGCTGGTGCTATATTTATCTTGCAGCTGTATGCAGGCTTGCAGGAGATTGTTCAATAAGAGAAAGGCAAAGAGTCAATGCAGTGTAAAGAAACTTTGTTCTACCATAGGCTAACTTTTTGGATTGGCTTAAAGACAGGGCTACGTAGTTTCAGAGGAGTGAGGAATATTGTTACTTATAGGAGATAAAAACTTTACTGAGATGTCTCTGGAAAGATCAGGGCTTTGTTAGAAGGGGGAAAAACATTCTTAAAATGGAATTCAATAGATGTTTGGGTGCATCAGCAGCAGCAGAAGAAGGAAGAACAGAGGGTGGGGACGATGATATTAACAATGCTGGCAGTAGTGTTGCCCATGAAGAGCTGGATTTGGTACAAATGTACCTTACCTTTCTGCCTGAAAGATATATGAAAGCAAAATTCACCGGGACAGCATACTCGATGTGCTGGTTGTTGCTGAAACTCTACAAGGTAAGAGATTTTAGTGCAAATGCATGATATTTTAGTTAACTGTGTATGTGCTTAAAAGGCAGAGTGAGCAAAATCTCTGTTAAAGTATTTGATAGTTTGTTAATACGAACCATACAGTTTTGACAACTGTACCACACAGTTGTCTTCACTCTTTATTGTAAAAGGAGCATTGTAAATATTGACGCTGTACCCAGAAATAGGTCAGCCAGCAAGGGAAATCTTGTAGGGACTACTAGTGGAGTAGTATACAAAGCAATACACTAGTAACTGCTAACCAGGTTCTCTCTGCATTCTGTTACTTACTTGCAGAGGACTTGATATTAATTTAGCTTATTTTCTAAGTGCATTTTTCTAAGTGTAAATTTCTTGTGGTGATCTTCATTGGCTTACATTTATCTCTTGTTTTGAATAAGCAGCAGAACGTATTTCAGTCCTGAAAATCTAAGCATTATAAAAGTCAAAAAATGGGGGTTTGGAATATTTTGTCAATTATAGTGGGGAATTAGTGTAGAGGCTGTGGTGGCACTTATTTTAAATGTGATTTGAGCACATCTAATTAAAATGCTTTTGCTTATTGTGTTACTAAGGAAAAAATCAGGCATCAAACCAATTATAAATGCTATAGTTCAGGCTTTGCAGAAAGCTGCTTGGATTTGCAGACCTACATATGAAACATTCAGTCCTACCCACATGATAGGTTTAAGGTTTTAGATTAAATTGAGAAGGACTTTACACTTGAGCATAGCACGTTGGTGTTTTTATGTGTAGCAATGCTGTTTGAATACATTTGGAATGTGTATTATTTCTTCCTTTGTCTTCTGTGTTGTTGCATTCAAGACTTTCTGTTGTAGGTATTTAGTCAATGGGAAGCTCACCTGATAGGCCAAAATAAATGTCAAAGCAGCATTTCCTGGTTTGTTTGTTTTTTGTTGGTTTGTTGGTTTGTTTGTTTTTTTCAGAAGTATGTGGCAGACAGGAAATACATGATGATGATGTGCCACAGATCTCAGGTGTGGGGCCACATGGTGCCTCAGCAGCAGCAAACCCCCTCCTATAGGCTCCTCTACATGTGTGGCAGTTTTGTGTCAGTAGCTGCATCATTTTTTTCCAGCATAGCTATGCAAAACTGTTATAAAATGTAAACTGAACAGTGCTAACAGTTTTATCTGTTAGATTTTTAGATAGCTTTGCTTCCATAGGTATTCCATATTTGTAGTGCTTGTGCCTGTTGGTAGGATTTACCATATCCTTGCTTTAGGGGGCAGATACAGACACTTTCCTCCACTTGACTTTTTCTTGTAATTTTCTGCTTGCTTATTGCAGTCATCTTTTGTGAGATTGACTGAGAGGGGTCGGAATCCATTGAGTTATATGGTGGCGGGGGGAATGAATAGCCCCCGGGGCAGATGCCAGAGCAACAAGTCAGGGCCATCATGTGGGCAGATGCCCAGTGCTGGGGAAATGCAGGTGCTCTCTAGGTGTTTTGGCAGAGTGCTGATCCTGGGAGGGGAAGGCTGCCCCTTGTCTGGAAAGTTGCTAATTTATTTGGTTGTTTTTGTTGTGGCTTGACCCCTTTGCAACCAGACATTTGAATCTGTAGGTTTTAAGATCCATAACTCTGTTGCAGAATGAGACAAAGCTAGTGGGCTTACATCCAATGGTCGATCTGGGTGCATACGGCAAGTTTAATACCTTGGACTCATTGCCAATGCATAGATTTTTGGGGCATTAATCATGATATGTGCATAAAACTTTAAGTGGCATGCATACAACAGTCTTGTGCACATGTTATCCATTAGTATAAATGGTTGTTTTTACACCTGACAAGCGGCAAACAAAACGGGGTAAAAGCTAGTGCTTGATGCAAGGAAAAGCATGGGATGTCAGTACCATGCAGGGCAGCAGGAATGGACAATCTAGCCTGATGTCCTTTCATCTCCCTTCTTCATGTAAGCCTGTAATTACATAAAGGTCTCCATGTGGACTGGGCTGTAAATTACACAGTGTCATTCAGTACTTTGTACAGATGCTTATGGCTGGAGTGTTCTCTGGTTGCTCCATCACTGAGAGGATATTATTTTGTAAATAACAGGAAGTGCTATTAAAACACACAAGCTAGGAAAGATGCTCCTGCCTGCGATTGTATCTGCTTGCATGTAACATTATATTTGCACAGTGCATATTAGTCCTTCAGTTCAGTAAGAAGCAATTCATACTATGTGAAAGAGCAAGGAGAGCTTCTGTTAAAATCACAGGCTTTTTCAGAAAGCTTTCTGAGAACCTTAAAATGCCCTGACTAAGCTGAGAGGATAACTAAACTTCTTTATCATAGCAACGGTTAGTTTATTAATGCTTCTTTCTTGCTGAGCTTTCTTAAAGACTGCTCAGATTTGAGACCCCATTTTCTTATTTCCTGATGCTCTTCCATGACTTCAGTCTCTTCCAAGTCCTAGCTGACATTAAAATAGTGAGTTGTTTTCTCCTTCCCACTCACAGGAACAAAATCAGCACAGCGTTCCATAGCTTAGCAGGGTCCAGCAAGCCTGCCCCAAGGTGAGGCTGGCAGGAGTGAAATGGTGCTGGTGCGTACAGAGCCACCTTCATTTCATGGCCTGTCTGCATCCCCTGCACATCAAAACCAATCCAGTTCTTGGCTACACACAGGGCTCCGTGTGCTCATGGCCTGGAAATATATCAGGGGCTGCCTATGACTTGTTATCAGTGCTATCCCTGGAGAGGGAATAGAATTGTGTGGCCTTTCTTTGAGTGTAAGTGGTGGAGGGAGCCACATAGCCTGCTCAGTCTTCTGCAGACTGCCACCTGGGAAACCCCTCTGTCACCTGTCTGAAGGTAGGCTTCAAATCACCACAATTTGTGAGGAAGATAGAGACAACATGAATCTCTCTAAATGTTCCATACATCACAAAGATTATTCTTTCATCCCTTCAGCTGGTTCTCCATTTCAAACCCCATACATAAACACTGAAGTGTTGTAAAGAAGGAATTCCTATGCACTCATTTATAGATACCCAAGAACAAATAAAGCTTTTTGCTTCTATCCAAAGATGCATTTGGCTAGACAGCACAGCTTGTCAATAGGTTGGGCCTTTCTAATTTCCCAGATACTATGAAAATCAGTTGTTCTCAAGTTATCTTACAAAATGGTGAGGTTCTCCTCTTGGGCTGCAGGTTTTGCAACCAGTAGTCCGAATTGTAATGAAATCTCTTGGATCTGTAAGGTTGAGTTGAAAACCTTGTGAGAGCCGGTCTGGTGCTGGATCTCAGACTTGGGCAGTGCTTCCCTCACATTGTAATTGCATTTGTTGCTGTTGCACAGGGGTAGACTTTGATTATTTTGGAACAACTTTTCTTGTGTCAAACTGCATGAGTGTGCACACAAATTGGTGTCTGTTTTCGCACTTGCTAAGCACAGCCTGTCTTCATTCTGCTAGCGGTCCTTTGCATCATAAATAATCCCTTCATTTTCTAGTTCTTGCCTGCTTACTGTGTTGTATCCCGAGGTACTTGCTCACAAAAAAGCAAACAGCTTTAGAAACTTTAGAAAAGTTTTAGAAACAAATGATTAAATTGCCACAATCCCCTGTGGGCAATTCCCTTGTTGTATATAAGAATGGTTTATATTGGTTTAAATAATCTGATTCCTTTCTAGCTTAAATGAAATGGTCAAAATAATCAGTTCTGAAACACTAAGACAAAAGGAAGGTAGTCACAAAGGAGGGGGATGGATGTCCTGTTCTATTCAGAATTCAGGTCAGAATATCTTTTCAAAACCTCACAATAAAAACAGGCTTTAATTAAGATTTAACACAATTTTAGTTTCTGTTTCAACAATTCAGTAACATCTAGTATCGCTGTATATCAAAACCAGTTGATTAATTCACATGATATCCCTGTTAATTATTATACCTTAGGAATTTCCTGTCAGCTCAGCTGGTGTTCCTTAACAGCCCAAAACCTATATAAAAGGCAAAATAAATGGTGGGGCAGATCTGTAATCAAATTTGACGTATGCATACAGAATCCTTTTGAGTTCGTGATACTAAGGAGCTTCCAGTTACTGTTGCTGCATAACAACTTGAACACTGGGAGCTGTGACATGCTACAGGAACCTACCAGAAGGAATCCCAAATGAAAGATAGAAGTGCTTAAATCACTGTCCTGTGGTTTAAAGCATAAGGACTTAATTCTCAGCTGTACAATGGATTCATTACTCTGCAATCATAGTCTCACTGCCCATGGCTCAGCTCATTGCCTGTCAAGGGGAAAACACATTTGTTGATTTTTTTTTTAGTTTGATTTTTAGTTCAGGTTATAAACATTGTAGGACTGGATTATCTTTCTGTATGTCTGTGGCACTGGTAAAGGCAGCCTGTTCAAGAACATGGGATGAATCCCCTTCGAGAAGTAAGAGCAGTCTGGTTTTCAGATATTGTATATAAATCCTCTAACCATTAGGCTTTGGTCACAAGGAGGTGTGGTGGCACTACCTGCATTCGTTTGCCTTCCATTTGAGGGGGAAAAAAAAGAAAAAAAAGAAAGATGCAGATAGAAAGTTCTAGTCTTATGTTATTTGCTGACTTCTGAAAGATCTTCAGTGAAATTGTGGCCCCTTTTGGAGTAGTCAGTTATGTTTTGTATACCTTATTTCTCATCCCAGGATCTACACACAGCAGACTGGAAGCTAGAGATGTTGGTGATTTCTTGAGGAGAGAGGTCTGTGGATTGCAAAAAACAACCCCTAAGAAAGCTGTCTAGTGAAGGGGGAAAGGGACTTCAGACTGATCTTCTCTTCACTATTTTATAGTGATCAGATATAATTGTTGCCTGCTGTTACTCTGTCTTTAACACGCTTCATGTACTCTGCCGAGAACACTTGTATGTTTTAAGAAAAAAAGGAAGTTGGCTCTGGAAAACCCAATTTGAGGTTACTCTCTTTCTTTCTTTTTTTCCTTCTTTCCTTCTTTCTTTCTTCTATATTT